TTGGAACTTGTCTGCTAGGACTCGAATCTCTATTCGGTTTTTGTGCACTTTGAGAAAACGAGACTTTGATTCTTTTAACTCTTTGGATCTCACCAAAAGCTCTTAGAATTCTCTGAAAGTCGGCTCCCAAAAAGTCTCACCCTCATTAGGGTTCTAATCTCTTTCTTATAAAGTGATTTAACCCTAATTTCGGTTTAATTTTCGGAAAACTGGAATCTGGAACGGACGGTCCGGAATTGCACGTGGACCGTCCGTTCCAGTAAGGTAGAACGGACGGTCTACGTTTAGTGCGGACCGTCCGTTCTATCTCATAGAACGGACGGTCTGCGTGTTATCGTGGACCGTCCGTTCTGCTTCCCAGAACGGACGGACCACGCATCCGGACCGTCGGGTCTCGACCCGTCCGACTCGGTTTTCCGTCGTTTTCTCTCGTGTTTTTGTCCTTCCCTGCGTGTGTGACCCTGTAGGCTCATTCGACATAGCAGTATAACCCGAAATCCCTATTTCGGGTATACAAGTCATAGGCGGTCTCTAGCAAGACACTATGACTACCTATCTCGAATAGAGTTGGTTCGTGATCTTACGAACACCAGTGATGATTCCGGCTGATGATCCTTTTGTATCGCGATATCATACGTCGAACATAAGGCATGGACAAGCCACCTCATCTGATTCGACTGCTTTCTCGTTCACTGAGTTCGACTGTCTGAAATAGACGACGTTCGTCTATAGTGCGGCCACACATTTCCACAGTCTCGCTCACACGAGGGGCCCAGCGATATCTCTCTCTTTTACGAGAGGTACAAATCCCGTCTTAACTATCTACAATCCAGTACATGATTCGTTTCGTACCTGATACACGCCTTTATAGTCCTCCTGTTACGCAGGACGTTTGACGTAATCAAAGCACGCAACTCCTCATGTTGGATTCCGTAGATATCTCAGGTCTTAGGATCCAATCATGGAACCGTCATATGAGATTCAAGTCATGACGCTAGTCCATGTGACAATCTCATGTGGGTCAATCCAGTATTCCGTTCTCCAACGAATACCTATGATCGTGATCGTATCCAATACCTATGATCATCTATGTGATCATCAATCACACATCATACTAGTCTTATTATCTCGTTATTCCCATAACGACACAAGACTAGGGAATTTAGTATCATTCCTAATGATACATGGATTTCATAACAGATCTAGCATGCAAGAACATGTAATGAATAAAATACTCTCATAAAAACACATAGAAAGTATCAATACATCGAATGTATCTCAATAAAGCTCATAATCAGTACATCATAGAGCACTAAACCAACAAAAAAGCGGAACGTCCGTTCCACGTGCTGGAACGGACGGTCCGCGTGTATCTCTGGACCGTCCGTTCCGGGCTTCAGTTTTTCCGAAATTAAACCGAATTAGGGTTAAATCACTTTATAAGAAAGAGATTAGAACCCTAATTCCATAGTGACTTTTTGGGAGCCGACTTTCAGAGAATTCTAAGAGCTTTTTGTGAGATCCAAAGAGTTCAAAGAATCAAAGTCTTGTTTTCTAAAAGTGCACAAAACCGAATAGAGATTCGAGTCCTAGCAGACAAGTTCCAACCGTTGGAATCCATCCCGAGGTGTGGATACGTGTAGAGGGCGAGGTAAACTTCCTCCCTAAGTGATCGGACGAATTCTTCAGTTGATACAGGCCCCGAATCGATTGAGGTAAGCGTTCTAACGTTTCTACGAATCATAGCAGCATGGTTCTAGGGTTTCATTAAATTTTTGTTTTATATCCGCTGCGCAAACCCTAGAATCGATCTCTTAGGAATAGGATTCGCTCATGAGATCCCAGGAAACCCAACAATATTACCTTCAGCAACAGAGTTAGCACTACTCTCGGCAGGAACTGAGTTTGATGCAATAGTTTTCCTTTTCCTAGTTGGTGGTCTCCTACTCGGTTCACCATCTCTCTACAAACATGATAACTCACCATCAACATGTCCTATATAAACAATGCACAACACAAAGAGGATCCTAAATAATACCAGAAATTTCCTCGGACGACCCGGCCCTCTCGGGGGACCATGCACTTGATAGGGTTCGTTCTTGCATGTCTTTATGTTATGTCCAACTTGTTTGCATTTAGTACAGGTCATCTTTCGACCATGGCGTGAGATGTGACCAGACTTCGAAGGGGACTCATGTGGATCCTTCTTTCGATGAAACTTTCTGGGTCTTCCCGACATTGATTGAGGAATTGGAACACCAAGAAGATCCTTCATAGTCTTTCTCCAGAAAATTTCTCCATTTAAAGGCAAAATATTGTTCTCGTATGTTGCAACCCATTTCTCCTTACTAAAGTAATGAGAAACATACCTACAGTGAAGAAGCACAACTCTTAAAAAGGAAACCTATAACTTCAGATAATGAATTATATTTAAACGATCAAGGTTCCAAAGAATACTTACAAAGATAAATTGTCTCGTCTCTGATTGATCACAGCAAGTTCGTGAGTACATGGTATTCCGGTAACATCCCACTGTCGACAAGTACAAGTCTTCCCAACAAGATCGACAGAATAACTAATGCCCAAATTCATCACTTCATATTTACCATGGCCACTGGGAATCACCATACAATACCCACCATTCTTCCTTGCTTTCTCTAACTCCTCCATCGCATGAGGACTGAACTCAGTCACACATTTAGTGGCCTCTTTAAAACGTTTTGCAATCCGTTGCATGGTTTTTCGACGGATATCCTCAAGCATATCCACTACAGGCCGCAATCTAGCATCCCTAATTGAGCTGTTATAACTCTCATTTAAATTGTTATTGATATCTCCACATTTGGATTTTTCTCTGAAAAATGCACGAGACCAATGTTTTGGATCTGTACTAACCAATGCCTCATATGCTGCATTGTTGAACTCTTTCAATGCGGTGATGTGTTGAACAAATTCACTTTTGCTATAGCTGTGTGCAGCTGACCAGAAGAACTTCTTGTACTCTATATCCTTGAATTGCTTCTTCCAATTGGCATATATATGACGGGCACACATCTGATGTTCACAATATGGCAATTCTTCTGCTATAGCACGGATCAGACCCTACAAAACCAAAAACCAACTTCATTACAATCGGATATATTATGTAATTGCCGGAATGTATGGACATAACAATGAATGAGATACCTTTTGCTGTCGGAATGTATTGTCAGATTTGCACCTTCTCCAAGGCATAAATCTTGCTTTAATCTCCGTAAGAACCAAGCCCACGTAAAATTATTTTCAACACGTACCACAACCCATGCTATGGGATATATTCTATTATCACCATCCCTCCCAATTGCAGCCAATAACTCACCTTTAAGTGACCATTTTAAGAAACATTCATCCAATCCAATAATTGGACGACAATGCCTCTTCCAAGTCTCTCGCAATACCTCGAAGCAAACATAAAACCTCTCAAATAACTCATTGCCTCTTTTGTTCTCTTATACCATATTGCATTCACAGTAGGCAATTTATTCTCCTTCAGAATATCCACAAACGAAAACCATGAAAAATAATCAATATCCACACCCCCGCCGACGTATTTAATCTCGTCATCCTCACACCATAGAGATCCTCCCATATGGATGTTTAGGGTGACAAGGAAATCGTCCGCCGTTACGTAACAGGAATTAATCAATTAACAGAAGATAATTACAGGTATTTTTTAATACATTTTCAAAAGTATAGGGGTTTTTTTGATATTAAAAAAGTATAGGTATTAAACTGAGACGTGGGAAAAGTACAGGTATTTATCGGAGATTAACCCTAGAACTAATTTAATAATTAGATTATAACGAATTATATATTATATTTTAATACTTACAATAAAAGATAGCCACCATTGCCTGCGAATGTGGTCTGGAGCTACAGTCCAAGAATATTACATATGTAATTATTCTAGTTAGAGCGTTTTTTATTTGATCATCATTAACTCCAAACCTACATAACATAAACATATTAGTTAGTAAATTCAATAAAATAAAAATAAAAATAAAAATATTATAATTATATCATAATCCATCATCGCGATCAGGATCGATGATGGGAACGGTGCGACTATCGAAAGCATCTAGTGTTGCCTCGACATCGAGCATCGTATCCTCGTCGAACGCGGGCGATGCATCAGGAGGAAGTGGCAACTGTGATGGTGGTGGAGGTGGGGGTGGAGGCGCACCAGCAGATCCCGCCAATAATCCTCCGCCTCGATGAAACCTGGTAGCAAACTATAATAATATATTTAATTAGTTAACCATTATCATTATATGTAATATAACTACAAATTTAAAAATTAAAAAATATAAAAAAATGCAAAATATATAAAAAAAAATTATACCATGTTTCTGTGTCTCTCTGTGAATCTCTCTGAGTTTTTTTGCGTTTTTTGTTTTGAGATTGAGATTGGAATGAGGGAAAAGAAAAGCGCTGGCGGATTTATAGACGAGATCAACGGACATCCGTTGATATATGGTGATCAACGGGGATCCGTTGATATTTTCCACAGATTTCAAGACGTTCTGGTTGGCGGATGAACGTATCAACGGACATCCGTTGCAAATATCCACGGACACATCTATTCCATGGAAATTTACTACGGACATCCGTTGATATATGGCTGCATTTAATTGCAGATCTGGAGAAACATCAACGGATATCCGTTGATAACTTCGGGAATTGGACGTGTCAACAGAATTCCGTGGATATTGTCAACGAATTTCCATTGACATGTCTCTGAATTTAATGTCGCATCATGCAGATTATTCAACGGTTATCCGTTGAAATACTCAACGGACTTCCGTTGGTGATTTTAAAAATATGTAAAAAAAATAAAATTCGAAAGTAAAAAAACGAAAGTTTTAAAATATTCAACATATTACAAAAATATATAAAAATTACAGCGAATCGTTATCATTTTCACTTTCGGATGATGTATCATCATGATCAGAAATAAATTCGTCGGGTTCAACATGGGTAAAATTATCAATATCTTCATCTTCCACATCCGCAATTACAAGTATATCTTCAAAATCTTCAAGTCGAATAGGAAGCACTGAATTTTCACTCGGGTCTTGCACCGCTTCTTCAGAATCTTCAATTATTGTTGATGAACTGATCACCATTTTTCGAGGATTGATTTTCACCACAGCTGACCATTGATCTTCTTTGCGTCTTTTATGTTGTGATATAGGATATTTTGGGTAAGGAATGAAACAGACCTGATCACTTTGATCCGAGAGAATAAAAGGATCATATTTAGGATATGCTCGTGTTGGATTGATGTCGATTCCTCCCCATTTGTTTTTCAGCGATCCACGTCCTGTGGTTGTATCGAACCAATGACATCGAAAGACCACTGTTTTCAGACCGACTAATCCGGGATATTCGATCTGGATGATCTGATGTAAAACTCCAAAAAAATCCGGATCATCTGATGAATCACTGTAATTCGAACTCTTGATGCACACTCCGTAGTTGAACGTATTACGATGTTTCTCATGTTCATACGTGTGAAATGTATATCCACGCGTGAACATGATCGGCCATGACATCACTCTTCTGCTGGGCCCTTGTGATAAATCTCGTACCCAATGCGGAATCCTCAAGTTACTTAAAGATTGAACCTACAACAAAACAAGTTGTTATTCGGTTAGCAATCATTGATGATTAAATACTATTATACATATCCACTTACATAGTCTTTGAACCAAGATGCGTAGTTTTCTTGTTTCAATTCGTCGAAAGCTTCACCGCTTAAATTTGGGTAAGCTTCTAAAACATACTCCTCAAAGATCCTGCAATATATTGATACGTTGAATATTCAGTTTCGCTGACATAAGATCAAATATTGGAATGTATATACCTATAGTATACATATGTACGTGTACATACCTCTCGTAATGACGAAATTATGCGCAGTTCAATAAAATATAAGTAGCGAGAAGGTTGTACTCCTGTACAGTTAACCACTGTACCTCTGATTTACCACCCATCCGGCCCGTCGGCATAAAAATCTCCGGAATATCGTTCTTAAACCGAGATTCATAATGATATAGATATGTATCCAAATCATTATTCTCTGATCTTCGTTCCTTCGTCGGAGTTTGAGGTTCAAAATAATATGAGCTAAAATATGTGATTTCTTCCAACAAATATTGTTTCACTATTGAACCTTTAACTGCAGCTTTGTTTTTCGCCTTTTTCTTTAAATGGAAGAAAAACCGTTCAAATAGATACATCTACCTAAATTGAACAGGAACTCCTGCGATCGCCTCATCTGGCAAATGAACGGTTAAATGCTTCATCACATCGAAAAATGAAGGCGGAAATACCTTTTCTAAGGCACATAGTATCTCCAGGATGTTGATCTTCAGAACTTCCAAATTGCTAGGCACAAATATCTCTAAAAAATGAACTTATACCACATAATCCTTCGTGCACACTCGGTTTTAACAGTTCTGCAAAAGCAATCGGAATGAGACGTTGCATAAAAACATGACAATCATGGCTCTTCATTCCTATAAGCTTTGTTGACTCCATATCAACGCAATGAGCTATTTTGGAGGCATATCCATCAGGAAATTTCACTTCTTCCTGCAACCACTTCATCAAAACTTTCTTTCCAGGACCCAGTAATCTAAAGATTGGAGTTGGTGCCTTACCATCATGTGATAATTCCAACTCTTTTCTTTTACAGATTTCTTTCATGTCCTTCCTTGAATTGACATTATCCTTTGTCTTTCCTGAGACATTCAGAACAGTATTGATGATGTTATCAAAGAAATTCTTTTCTATATGCATCACATCCAGATTATGTCGGAGTGTAAGCGAACTCCAATAAGGTAGATCCCAGAAAATACTCTGTTTATACCAGTTGTGCCAATCACCAAATCCTTTGCACTTTATATGCCCAAAATTACCTCCACATCGAACGGATTCTTGCAAATCGTCAATAACACCGCTGTTTATCCATTCAGAATAAATTTGGAAGCCTGTCTGCAATATTGGAGCATACTCTTTAACAATTCTACCTTTCAAAAATGCAGTACGGTTTTGCCGTAATGGATGATGCATTAGAAGACACCGTCGATGACAATCGGACCAACACGATTTCCGGCCGTGCTTTAAGTAAAACGCATCAGTTTCTTCCATACAATATGGACACGCCAATCTTCCATGTGTGCTCCATCCAGATAGCATACCATATGCAGGAAAATCGTTGATCGTCAAGCACGACTTTTAGTGTGAAATTTTGTTTCACACTAACATCATATGCAGGAACTCCAATGTTCCACAAATCTGTCGATTCCTTAATTAAAGGTTGTAGAAACACATCAAAACTCTTCTTGGGTGATCTGGTCCATGAATCAACAATGTTAGAAACATAAATTCTCTTTTCAGACACATCTCCGGAGGCAAATTATATGGCGAGAGTATCACAGACCATAATAAATATTGCATGCCAGATTTTCCGTACGGACTAAAACCATCCGTGCATAAGCAGAGATAAACATTCCGAGGCTCAGTAGCAAAATCAGGGAATACCTTATTGAAATCTTTCCATGCAATGCCATCGGATGGATGTTGCATATCTTCTGTCGAGCTCGAATGATTTGCATGCCATCTCGTATGTGATGTTGTTTTCTCAGATTCATATAACCTTCTCAATCTATACGACACAGGAAAATAGAACATCTTCTTATACGACACCTTTCTATGAGATCTTTCCTTACTCGGTCGATATCTATTCGCTCCACAAAATTTACACTGCATCAACTCTTTATCAGTATCCCAAAAAAGCATGCAACTGTTTCTGCAGACATCAATCTTTTCATGAGGCATTCCCAAATCCTTCAAGATTGATTTTGTATCATAATACGATTGCGGAGCTTGATTGTTTTCAGGTAAATACTCACGCAATGTCTTGCAAAACGAATCCATGCAATTCTCAGTAACATTATAATCTGTTTTCATGCTCATCAATCTTGATGCTAATGATAATCGAGACTGACCTTGTTTGCATCCTTCGTATATAGGATGATTTTCCATCGTGAGCATGTCGAAAAATCCTTTTGCATCATTATTCGGCTCTTCTTCTTCTTGTTGAACTTGCTCAAATACCCCGGAAAAAGCATCTGTCACCATTTGAGCATACGGATTTCTTGTTTCAAAATCAAAAGATTGATTTTCTCCAGTTGCTTCTACCTCCTCTGTCTGTGTCCATACAACAGTATTCGCCGTTGTCCTGACTTCTTCTCCATGCATATGTCATACGTAGTAATCATCCATAAAACCCCTTCGATATAGATGTTTGCATACCACTTCTTGGCTTAGAAATTTTAAATTTCTACAACCTTTACATGGACATTGCAATTTTCCACGTTGTTGACACAAAGGTTGCATTGAAGCAAAACTCATAAATTGCTCCAAACCTGCACAGAACTTCGGTGTAACTTCTTTTGTTGTTGGATCTTCTCTACGATACATCCACTGCCTTGAAACATGTATATTTTGATTTGAGGAAGAAGAAGACATTTTGAGAGATTTTGGTAGTAATGGGAGGGGGGCGCCGCGAGCTATATAATG